ATATTTCAAGTGGTGAAAGTCATTTGTGATGAGATGTTTGATTTGAAAATAATTGCTATATTCATGGATTGAGATTAATAGAAGTGATTCAAGGTGAATGAACGGGACAATTTGAACTTATACAAATATTAAACTGAGCGATCAGTCAAACAATCAATAACTGATTGATTTTAGGTCTGAAATGAATAACTTGACGTGTTGGTTCGTAGAAGGAAGTATCGAGTAAAAGTTTGATTGCAATTGCATGAAACGCCTTGAACAAAAGCATCACCTCCGAGTGTAATTAATTTGTTCAGCAGATTCAATAATTGCTCTAATACGTGCCTTAATCTCCGATCGACCGATCACACAGAACGTCCACGGTTGTAAGTTTGCGCCACTTGGAGCCGTACCTGTTTTGTAAGACTGTTTTGGATCACGCGGCGAATTGCTTCATTATATACAAAGAATTAGAAAATAACGTTCATTCTGGCTGTTTTCAAATTTTTGACGAATGTTTCAAATCTTCTGCTTCATTTGGTTATGACAAGAGAATCGGACTGATAATGGAATCGGCGGCACAAATAATGGACAGATAACATCATATGAACACTGACCGAAGAATTTACCTGCTGTTTTTATAAGATTCAAAATCAATTTGGGTGATACAGGACGCGTACTGAAACTTCGAACACTTCTACGTCGTTTCATTTTCTCGTAGAATAACTGTGACCTCGAATAAAATCAGTTTATTGCGTATTGAGGTTCATAATGAAGGTAATAAAGTAACGTCTGGCACTAATATGTTAAGAATTCGATGGTGCAGTCAAATCTTAAAATCACAAAGTAAACTAACTTCAACAACGCTTCATCATCACTAACGCTGACTGCACGATATAACACCTGATCGGTTGGTTCCATTACCTCATAATCACCGATTAAGTCATCGTTGTCACCCACCTGAAATGATGAATTTCATGAAATTCCGATCATCACCTTTCCACTACAAACCTCAGCAGTTGTCGATGCCCAAGTCTAGTCATGAGCATTCAATTCAATTCTGAATATTCGCAA